GTTTTGGTGGTGGGGGTGGGGGTGGGGGTGGGGGGAGTTGGTGAGGCGTGGGGGTGTGAGGGGGTCCGGGGGGTGATGGTGGGGTTCTTTTGGAGGGGTAATGGGTTGGTTTCTTTTTTGAGTGAGTTTTGGGGGGTGTACGACGGTGCGATTGTGAGTTGATCAGGAATTTGTGAGCAAAGAGGAGATTGGAGTTGTTGTATTGGATGATTTTTTAATTTTTTTGCCTAGTGATATTCTATAAGTGTTTCCTCCTCTGGCTGTGAAAATGGTATGCCCTTCTGCAAAGCATCCTGCATCTGATTCTGGTAAGCAAATGTCCAAAGTGCAGTGCGGCCGAATCTATGATTTCCCAATCTTGTTCTTTTCAGCCAGCAGATCCTCGACATGCTTGTTTAACCAGTACGCATCCAACACGCCCAGTTTCATATCCTTTGCGCCGCTGATGCGCCCCCTACATCCCTTGCTCTTGCACAGGCAATCAAACGGCTGCGCCATGTCCCACTCGGTACTTGGGTAGAAAAAGGTCAACTCGTCGCCTGCCTTGAGTCCCTCCTCGCGGTCTGGGTTAACGCGGACTTCCCATCTCTCCATGTCGAAGATGAGGGTGGGATCGCAGGAGTGGTTGATGTAGACGAGGTCGCAGTTGAGCTCAATGTGGAGGTCGCGGCCAGCTTGTACGGAGCTGTATGCGACGGTGGCTGGTGTGGGAGAGCTGATGCGTGCGAAGATTGCGCCGGCGGGGAGGGAGACGAGGGAGACGGAGCGGCTGGCAAACGAGCCTGGGTTGTGTTCTACGCGGAGGAGACGGTTGAGGTCGGGTTGGACCCAGGCAGGTATCGTGGTATTGCTGGCGAGATTGGAGGGGGCATTCGTCTCTGCAGAGAGTTTGCCATTTGAGGCGGGAGGAGGGGTAGAAGTTATTGCTGATGGTGGTGCCATGTTTAGATTGCGGTCTTCTGCTTGAGAGAGAGTTCAATTGGTAAAGACTGAAGTCAGTGAATTTATAGAGCTACGAATTGTTTGATCGATGAAAAGGTATGCTAGTCTTTAGTATTCCATCGTGGCCATACAAGCCGGACGACTGGCAATTTCATCACCCACGAAGCGTACTAAGCCCACCGAAGACACATGCTCTCCATTCGTAGTGGGGATAGGCGGCTAATTTCTTCTCTATAATGCCGAACGGCTTGGTGTCTTGATTCATCCTGTTTGTTGCTGACTATATTGTAGGGTGAAAGGATGGCCGGACCAAAGGCCGAGGTTCGTGACTGGCCAATTGAACTTGCCTTTAAGAGTACGAGGGCGAATCACGGTTACCTGAGAGAATATCATGGTATGGGGGCAGTGCTGTGTAGCTGCACTGAAATGGTACAAAGGTGGGTCAGGAACGGGAGTCGGCTGGTTTGCAGGCTTCACCCCTTTCCAAGACGCTGCTCCGGTTACCTCGTGCCTCGGTAGTGCACGTCTCGCCCAGAAGAGGTTGGTCCGCCTACGTAGTTTGCCAGGTCAGGAGTCGGCACGTGAGATGACGTACCGGTGCGCTATAGGATCCATGTCGGCCAAAAAGACAAACAACACTTCCATGACAAAGAAAGCCCGTAGCAAAGCGGAATGCACCGCAAATTCCTAACAGAGATACCAAGCTCGACCTCAACAGCAAGTACATTTCCCATCGTAACCACACCTCCGTATCTCCTTAGTCGCTCACTCGGTACTATATTATCCTAGCAGCCATATACTTTCCTTTTACTCAAGATTCCATGTACAAAGTGAGCGTAAAACTCCTCCATGTCCACAACCGTAAAAAGCGCATGCTGAACGGAACAAGAGAAGGAGACATCTACACATTGCAAGTGTCCCTTGGATAACCCCGCCCTATGTAAAAAGGAGAGTCAGTCTAGTTGGCAGCAGAAAAGGACAAAACAAGAGCGCTAAAGAGATTGAATGCAAAAATCGGGGCAGAAAACGGGTTCGAGGTTATCATCATCACCTAATGCGCAACCTCAGATCTCAGTCTATTCTATTCCATCTCACCCCTCATTCTTTCGGTTGCCCAATCCAGCACCTCCGTCAGATTCCTCCTTGATCATCCGCTATTCACAAATTGCCAATAACAACCATAAACCTCAACTTTCCATCGGTCTTCTTGCTCGCTGCGCCTGGAATTCCACCTCCATCCTCTCCACCACCGCCCCCGATCCCCACCTCATCCAGCATGAGCGTACTACTCTTCCACCCCCAACTCTGGCTAAAGTTGAATCGATCAGGCGCGCTTTCATATATACTCAGCATGCGGCCGCCCTTGGACGGCGAGTAGATTTTAAAGTACGTCTTGATGGTTGGTCGGCCATCGACGTAGGGCGGCATGGTGGGCATCAGGCTGCGGATTTTGCGTTGGGAGCGTGCGGTGAGGGAGGGGTTAGGATATGCCGCATCATCCTCTTCATCCTCTGAGAAATCAGAGGGATGGTCGGAGTGTTCGGAGGTGCTTGGGGGAAAGGCGGGGGAATTGCTGGATTCGGCATCAGTGGGTGAGGTGGAAGAGGGATTGGCGAATGAGGGTCCTGTGATTCCGCGACGAGATAGCTGGGCGAATCTTGTATTGCGACGGCGACCTAGGCTGTCGTGTGCAAAGAGCGGGTTTGATAGACCTGCAGAGGCGAGAGAAGAATCTGCGTCACCGCCGCTACCGCTGGTGTCTTCTTCGGCGGTTGCTTCGGTAAAGGCACGGGTGGTGCGACGGCGGTCGCGGTTTTCGCCGCGCATGAGCATTTCGCGTTCGAGCTGGCCGATACGTTCATCGACTGAGCTATTGTTTTGTTGGTTCAGGCTACTATTGTGGCTTCCCTCGTCGCCTTCGCGTTCTTTGGCACGGTGGAGGTAGACACCGAGTTGCACATTTTTGGCTGATCGGACCTTCTGAATGTAAATATTCCAGAGAGACCCAGCGTACGAGACTGTACGGGAGTAGACACGCTTCTTCTCCTTCAGGAAGCGTGGATTAGGGAACTCGGCAGAGAAGCGAAAGGGAGGGAACTCGGTGTATGCGATTGGCTTGGGCTGTCCAGCATTGCCACCGCCCGCGGAGATGGGTCGTTGTGTAAAGTCCATACGTGTATTGGGGTTTGTAAAAGTGGAAGGAGTAGAAGCAAAGTCGGTGGCCCATTGTGCATCTTCTGGTTGAAGTGTAGCAGAGAGACGCGACGCATGACGCTGGAAGGAATTCGACGTCGTCACAACTGGATCAGCACCATTACCGAGAACAATGTTACAATCTGAGCTGGGTATCCAAAACTTGCGAGGCTTGCCATTACCATCCCAGCTATCAGACTCTGGGCCACAATCCTCTTCTGTCGACACAGTCACTTGCTTCCCTTTTGCCTTGGCATCACTGCCCGTTTTGGTGGCAACATTTGCCATTTCAGGCTCTGGTAGCGACTGTACCAAGCCGAGTTCTTGTGCAGACTCTTCTGTATTTAGCACCCGCTGACGAAGCGCAAGTTGTTGCCACAAGGCATTGGAGATGACTCTCTCGGGCATTACCGGCAGACCAAATATGTCACGAGCGTTCTTGATGTACTCGAGCTGTTCAAACTCCATGTGAATATAGTGAATGCCCTCGTCGAGCAATACCAATATACGCTCGATGTCAGGACTCGTGTAGAGAGCAAGCCAGTCGGCGTTTGTGTCAGACGATGCATTAGCGGCAGTGAGTGCGTTTTGACGATAAACGCCATCGAAACGGACAGCCATCATTCGCAGTGAAGTTGGGGCCTGAGGCACGGGCTTCTGGCCTCGTTGCATCAGGCCTGCCTCCACTGCAGCGTGTCGCAGTCGTCGATCAAGCAGGCGCTTGGAGAGCACCCATCGATCCCATTCACTGTCGACGAAGAAGCCATCAGATCCTATGAGTTCACGGATAATGTCACCAGGCATGTCATCCCAGTACTTTAGCGGCATCTCCCAACCGTTTCTGCTGAGCATAGCCTTGGCGGACTCGAGGATGCGGTCCCCTGACCGGCCATAGTAGTTGGTGGTGACGAGACGAATGAGAAAGGCCAGTGTCTCTGGGGCCATCTGGCGCAGTATTGATTCAATGGCTGCGTCGATGAGATCCTGCATCTCCAACCAACATCCCGTTGCGAAGAGGCCTATGGCTTCGGCGTCTGCCTCTTTCGAAATGTCCACGCCGTACAATTTGCTTATAGCCAGCTCAAACGAGGCCTGCGTAATATTGATGTCGATTTGTTCAGGGTGGAGGGTAACTTCCTTGGAGCGACTTTCTAGCCATGGCTCTGACAGGGCTGTGGTAAAGAAGGGTGCGCGATCAAGGATGAGACGATGCAGGTTGTACCGCTGGCCAAAGGCGAGTATGGTGATGTCGGAGTGTCTTCCTTCACGGAGACCGCGTGTATAAAGGTGTTCAGGTAGTGGTATTGATTCGTTGCACGCTATCTCTGCATCAGCGCATCGTTCACGCACTTGGTAGTCCAAGTCAGCGCAGACGGCGTACCTCGAAGATAGAGTGGGCCTGTGGCATTGCTGTAGGATGGCGCCCGCGAGCCTGCTCCTGCCACACTCTCGCTGAACAGCCTACTAATGTCGGTCCGCACAGAGTGCTCGGTTCGCATGAGGTCCATGGTAGTGCGTCTCCGGCCTTGGGTCTCCAGAGGCGTTGTCGGGTCGTCGGCGCTCTTTTGTGCCTGCTCGATGCGCGTCTGCAGCTGGACTATGGGTAGCTGCTCGTCCGAGACCTTCAGTCTCGATGTGCGCTTCGTCATGCTGGCCATGTTGTCGAGCGATGCCATGGAGCGTGAGGCCGTGAGGGTTGCGTAGGTCTCCTCGTGGACCATCGAGGGGCCAGCCCCAAAGTCGGGCATTATCGTGGGCGGCGTCGTCGATACATGGGGTGAAAAGAGACTGACGTAGGGCGTACTACTCGAGGACAACGACGACGACGCCGCTGCTGCCGCGGTGGATGTGTTTGCCAGGAAAGAAGGTGTATCGTCGTTGGCAGTCTCAGCAGCGAGTAGGGGCCCCTCGTGACCCCCACGGCCAAGTTCGTGGTCAGCGGACAGGTCGTGGGCAGCGTCCATGCTATCAAGTGTTTTCTAGGTACATGAGGTTGGTGAGACTGGTGACGTGGGCGCGATGAAGTGGGCGGTCAGAGGCCAGTGGACTGCTAGACGGGCTTGATGGAGGGGAACACAAAGAGGGGGGGTGCAAAGGTCAAGTCACTTTGTAACTTGTCACTCCTCTAGGACACGTAAAGGGACAGAACCAAAGACTTTGTGACATGTAGCAGCCGCTGAGCAGCGCATCACGCAGTTGTGATGGCCGAGCTGATGTCGATGGCATGGGGTCGCTTTGCTTGCGAGTCCTGTGATGCTTGGGGCTGACTAAGTAACCGGAGTTACCTAATGTGTCTGGTACTATACATGTGTACTTACTTGTACTAGGTGCAATAGACACGTAGTATTAGGTCCTGGCCTTTGACTTACTAAGCGTGCATACTGTACCGTACTTCTTTTTCCCCCTCCAAGTCCCGTCCCTTTCCAACAGGTGGGTCGTCATTGCCGTCTCACACGGGCGGGATGGAGGATGCAGGGTCTTTTCAGCGGCGTCTTGGCAGACCCAATAGCAGCCCAGGCCATTGCTGACTAAGCTAACTTTAGGAGTCTATGATGTTCACAATCTACTTACTCTATCCACCTTTAGCAGCAGCTCGTCGTGACTCCTTCACTCCCACCTTCGCCTTATCGCGGCTCCGCCATGGCTTCTACCTCCATATTCCACGCCTATCCACAGCTACGTACTGCTGCACCGCGGCTCTCACGACGTCTCTTCGCATCGTCTTCGCCGTGCCTGCATGCACCCATTCGATGCACTTGGGCCGCCGCACGAGGCTCCTCTGCACCCCGGCCCTCCGTCGCACAGTCCGTCAGATGGAAGTCGACACAGCCATTGCGGAGTAGCGCCACCATCATCAATAACACATCCAATGCGGAAAGCGCGATACTGGCCCAAGCTGCAACCCACAGCGCCCCCAAGTCGAGCAGCTTCCCAGATACAAATTCCAAGAGCGTGGCTTACTGGCTGCTGGGCAGTGCAGCCAGTGTCTTTGGCATTGTCGTCTTCGGGGGACTGACTCGTCTCACCGAGTCAGGGTAGGCAATGATGGCTTTACGCTTCTCAATGCCATCCGCTGACCTTTTGTTTTCAGATTGAGCATCACAGAATGGCGACCCGTCACAGGCTCGCTATGGCCCATGGATCAGGCCACTTGGGATAGCGAGTTTACCAAATACAAGTCGTCACCAGAGTTTGCTCTTCTCAACTCGAGTATGACCATGTCAGACTTCAAGCAAATCTATTTCATGGAGTGGGCGCATCGCCTGTGGGGCCGAGTCATTGGCATCACCTTCCTCTTGCCCACCGTCTACTTCATTGCCCGTAAGAGAGTTACGCCGACCATGGCGTTGAAGCTCACAGGTATATGCGGCATGATTGGCTTCCAAGGTTTTATTGGCTGGTGGATGGTCAAGAGTGGGCTCAAGGACGATCTTTTCGCTCCCGGTAGTCATCCACGTGTTAGTCAATATCGGTTGACGGCTCACTTGGGTGCTGCCTTCACTGTCTACTGCTCCATGGTGCTCACGGGTCTCTCCATTTTAAAGGAACACCGAATGCTTGCCAACCCCACCAGCGCTGCTGAGACGATCAAAGCCTTGCAGCATCCTGTTCTTCGTGTCTTCAGACGTTCGGTCGTCGGCCTCGCCCTCCTTGTCTTCACTACTGCCATGTCAGGTGCGCTCGTCGCTGGTCTCGATGCTGGTCTTATCTACAACGAATTCCCCTGGATGGGTCTTGGCCTGACACCACCTAAGAAAGAGCTCTTCGATCCCTTCTACAGCCATGTGCCAGATCAGTCTGATCTCTGGTGGCGCAATATGCTCGAGAATCCTTCGCTCGTCCAGCTCGACCACCGCCTACTGGCCACCACTACCTTCACAGCCGTCATGTCCCTCTTTGCTTACACTCGCTTTGCCAAGGGTGTCCGCAGCACTCTTCCCAAGGATGTCAAAAAGGGCGTTCAGGGCATGGTTCATCTTGTGTCCCTCCAAGTCGCACTTGGCATCAGTACATTGATCTACATGGTGCCGACCTGGTTGGCGTCCGCACACCAGGCTGGTGCCTTGGCTCTCCTCACCGGTGCTGTGGTGCTTTACAGCAGAATCTCGCTGCCTCGTCGCGCTATCATGCGCCAGATCATGAAGGCGCCAACTCCCAGGAGTACCACCACACCTCACATAAACGCTCGTCTCGAAGCCGCAAAGGCAGCCGAAAAAACCTTGTAAAAGTGCATCTTGCTTGGGTTACTATTTTGTTGTAGAACCATGTATCATATTTGCATTCATTCGCTCTTAGCGCTAGACGTCTAGAACGTCATGTAGGTTCCTCCTATCTGAAACGTCTGTTTTCGGTCTCCTAAACCTGCATGCCTCGTCTTAACCACCCGCTGGATAACCTATCTAGTCAGGTTCTTCGACCCTAGATCTGGTCGCCGCCAGGCAGTTCTATGACCCAAGTGCACGAAAATTCTTGGAGACGAGCGGCAGGAGTAGCCCTCTAGACGCCTCTTTCAACAACGACATTATCGGTCAATGTGGCGGGGCGCATGCTCACGTACAAGGACAACAGCACACACGCATCGCGTCACATCATCTGAACAGCACACCCACACCACTGCATCTTCTCATCACGCTTTCCTTTCGTGCGAGCTACGACACAGATCCTCGGCTGCGGTTTGCGCGTTGAACGCCATTGCGCCATGGACACGTCGAAATCTTCTGCTTCCACATGCCATAAGGTTTGCACATGTATAGGGTCACGGGGAGGTCTCACCGGCTATTCGCTGCAGCAAATGGTGTGAATTGCATCTAGGAGGGAATCAGTGAGTATATGCGGGAGTGGTCGCGCAGTGCGCTACTTGGTGTGAGGTGACGTGTCAACAGCGGTATTGGCGTAGTGGACATGAATTGGTTGGGTGTCGTGCTGCAATAGGTATGCTGTCCACGTCCCATATTACTTTAGCGACTACGTGGGTATGGCTATGTGGGCTTTGCCATGTTCCCCCTCAGGCGTTTGCAGGTCTCCCAACCCTACACAGAGAAAAGGAATATTGTGCGCAGAAGAAACCGCGTTATGCAATCGTTGTTTGGTCCATGATAGGCAGACGTTTCTTACTTGAGTGTGGGCGTCAGCACTACATACACATGCACAGCAACTTGACATTGACCCTTGACCCCCATGCTCTCTCATGCATCTCGAGTCACAGCAACAGTCGAAAATCACAAACGAGAAAGTCTAGCTGTGCCCTCGCAGCAGTACCTTGCATCGATCTGCACGAGCTATTTCGGTGCAACCGGAGAAAAGCGAAACTGTGGCGGTGCAAGGGCGGTATCTTAGGCTACCGCACTCTCAGATACGTTAGCCTTGGTTCTGCTGCACAGTTCTTGCGGGGCGGCGACTGCATGTTTCCCAGTCTCTAACAGATACATGCAGTCTTTTGACTTTTGTTCCCCTTCCTGCAGGTCACGCGTTTTGCCGTAGGTTCACCGCGCCGCCTCACTTCACGATTGTTGAGGATAAATACGCATTCCCTAGCTAAACTCCAAGGACGGCTGGGACACTCGGGTCCTCTTCGCCACCTTTCTGTTGCATAGGCAGAGACCATCCGTCTTCTTTCCACCTAACCTCACAGGTGTCGACCGCAAATATGGGTACTGCAGCAGCAGCAGCGTTGACCACGGCGATGGAGCTGCTGAATTATATGCAGGCTCCCACTGTCGGATTCTACCATCTCGGTGCCAGCGCATATGCCTTGCTTGTTCTCCGAAAACCACAGCCCATATCACCGAAAAGACGGCGTGGCACACTGATATGCATGCTCTGTTTACTTGCCGCCTACATAACAGAAGTCCTGTACTACTTTAGTCGATCTATGGCAGAAGTGGATTACTGGGCCCCCAAGCCATGTGCGATTCGCTGCTTGGGCTCAATATTAGTCTGGGCTCCGCTGTCGTACGCAGTATGGAGCAGCAAGTCGTTGCAATGGCCATGTTTCTTTGGCGCTTTTGCCATGCAGTTTGCGTTTGAGACGACGATTTGCTTGATGAGCACATTTACGGCCCCGGGAGAAGATGGTCAGAGGCATGTACCGTTTGTGATCAGTTGCATCCGGACTCTTGCCTCTCTGGTATTACTTCTCGATGCCTTTGCCATCCTTATCACGAAGCATGTGGAGCTCAGCCTGGATGAAGAACGCCAATCACTACTGGGGAAACCCGCGAATGGCGCAGCAGCGCTGAACGGCTATGGTGCTATTTCCCAGGTCCCTGTCAGCGAAGACGAGCCCGAAGCAAGAGATCGTGACAAGGAGCTCAAAGAGCAGCAAGCCAAGCGCCTCGAACAAGAGGGTGGCTGGTTGGGTTATCTAGGAGGATTCATGATCTTTTTACCATACTTGTTTCCAACAGATGACTGGAAGGTCATGGGCTGTCTTGCTATCCGTCTCTTGCACATGATACAGCAGCGGTTTCTAAACTTGCTTACCCCTCGCCAACTCGGTATCATTACTGATAAGATTGGAAAAGGCGATGGGATGATGCCTTGGAAAGACATTGGACTTTGGGTCTTGTTCTCCTACATCAACAGCTACGCCGGCTTAGGTATAATTGACGGCATCGCAAATATGGTCATACACAACTCAGCGTACCGTCGTATCACATTGCTGGCATACAAACACGTCCTTGGTCTATCGATGGATTTCCACACCTCCAAAGACTCGGGCGAGGTGCTGAAAGCGGTGGAGCAAGCGGCTTCTCTCAACACACTGGTCGAAATGGTGCTCTTTGATGTTTGTCCCATCTTCCTTGACGTCGCTGTTTCCATGTACTACGTCACGCACTTGTTTGATGCGTACATGGCGTTCATCATTCTGTTCATGGGCACGGCCTACATTGCGCTGGGATGGTATTTTACGGGTTTGTCCCAGCCCAAGCGAAGAGACTACGTTGAGAAGCAGCGGACTGAGAGTTCTACTGTGAACGAAACTGTGCACAACTGGCAGACGGTGGCATACTTCAATCGTCTGACTTTTGAGCACCAACGATATGCTGCCAACATCATGAGCACCATTAATGCGCAGTATGCATATTTCTTTCGATCCATGGGAGGACATGCCGCACAAGACATGCTGACAACGTTTGGCTTCTCCGCGTGCTGCATCTTCGGCATCGCGCAAATTGTCAGTGGGCAAAAGCCAGTGGGTAACCTCGTCACACTGATCGTATACTGGAACACCATGACACAACCCCTCTACATCCTCTCCTACAGCTACCGCCACATCTCCAGCTCCCTCATCGACGCAGAGCGCCTCCTCCAACTCCTCAACACGAAGCCCTCGGTCGCCGACCACCCCTCCGCCACCGACCTCCTCATCCCTACGGGCGCCGTGGAATTCAAGAACGTCTCCTTTGCCTACGACCCGCGCGCCCCGATACTCAAAAATATCAACCTCACCGTCCAACCAGGCCAGACCATCGCCCTCGTCGGCCCCACCGGCAGCGGCAAATCCACACTGCTCAAACTACTCCTCCGCTTCTACGACCCAACCTCGGGCTCCATCTCCATCGACGGCCAAGACCTGCGCTCGATCACGCAATCCAGCCTCCGCTCCTCGCTCGGCCTCGTTCCCCAAGACCCCATCCTCTTCAATCAATCCATCCGTCAAAACCTGCGCTACGCCCACCTCGCCGCCTCCGACTCGGTCATTGAAGACGCCTGCGCTGCCGCCGCCATCCACGCCGACATCCTCCGCTTCCCAGACGGCTACGCCTCGCGAGTCGGCGAGCGCGGCGTCCGCCTATCCGGCGGCCAATTGCAGCGCCTCGCCATTGCCCGCGTGCTGCTCAAGGACCCCAAGATTGTACTCCTCGACGAGGCCACCTCGGCGATTGACTCGGGCACAGAGGCCCTCATTCAAGCTGCGTTTGCGCGCCTGAGTCGCGGGCGCACTACGTTTGTGGTTGCGCATCGGTTGAGCACAGTGGTTGGGGCGGATCTTATTCTCATTGTTGATGGCGGCGAGATTGTGGAGAGGGGGCGCCATGTGGACTTGTTGCGCGCGGGTGGCGTGTATGCGGCGTTATGGGGGAAGCAGACCCAGACCCAGACCCAGACGGAGACGCAGAGTCCTGTCCTTGGGGGACAGGGCGACGACGAGACTATATGTGTGCCGGATACGAAGGCTTCTATGACGCAGGACGAAGAGGCCATGGGATCAAGTACGGGATCGAGTACGTCTAGTATACAGGATTACACTACAAAACGCAAATAATGAACATCACCCTTGAAGCAAGGGATTTATTTCCCTCTGAGAGCAATATACTATGCTTGGTTTCGTTACCATCATCATGAGCATGATAACCATTATCACCATCATATCAGACTCCTCCCCCTTCCCCCTTTCCCCCATTTTCAAGACCAAGACTCAGTACATTGCAAACAGCACCATCCCACAAATCGATTCAACACAAATCAGAGGTGATAAACAGAAATCAAGGAAAAGAACGACATCTTTCCCCCCCCCCCCCAAAAAAAAAGGGGGAAATTTAGAAAAAGATGAAACAATTTAAATCCCGTTTACTCTAATAGTGTTCCCTAAATAAAGACGCCTTGAAAAAATCCCAGTACTACAACTACACTACACCACACCACACCATCCCAACATCACACCCTTCCCTTCCCCCAAATTCTTACGTTTTTCCAAATTTCCCAAACAAGCCCAAAAAAAGGTATACACTAATAACCGCCCTATTCCACGCTCGCACAATCTTTCATTATATCCCCCCTTCCATCCATCCAATCTATCCACGCACCTACCCCTCCTCACTAAACAGCAAAACCGCATAGCCCTGTTGCTCAGCCCTCTGCTTCTCAGCCGCGCCCCTGCGGCCCATGCGCATCATACGCATCATCCTCTTCATCTTCCTCGCACCGGCATCCTGTACCACCCTGACCCCACTTACCTCGACCCTCATCCAGCCTTCCTGATCAGCCACCGGGATGCCCTCCCATCCCTGACAACTCGCCGTAATCTCGAGCGTGGCGCTCGCGCCCGCGACGCCCTCTCTCGCCGTGAAGAAGAAGCTCTCCTCGAGCCAGGACTCGGCAGGCTCGACTGTGGCAACTGTGTCGTTGCCGACAACATATTGCACGGTACATTCGGCTTCCTTGTGTGCCTGGCGCGCCAGAGCGGAGATCTCGTACTGTTGGCCTGGGCAGAGTGTGAGGGGTTGTGTGATGGTGAGGGTGCGGCCTACGACTGCGGATTTGAATTGTGCGATTGTGCCGTTGCCTGAGGGTGCAGGCTCGGAGCCGACGGTGATGGTGCGATCTGTTCCATCTACGGACCAGTTGGGGACGCTAGAGTCAGCGCCTATTGCAAAGTTGGGGTTGAGTACAATGTTGTCTGAATCGGCACAGGCGGAGTCGATCTGAGCTTGGGTTGCGGGGTCGTCTTCTTCGCGGAAGCGTGCAACAAGGTCAAGTGGTGTAAAGGAAGAAGCGGCAGGAGCTGCTTCAGAGACAGTGCTGCTTGCTCCGGCAGTAACAGTTTGAACGAGAGTTGTAGTTTCTACTCGAACACTTGTCTCGATGGCGGTGACAGTGACCACGAGGGGAGCAGTGGGGCAGATGCTGACCGAAGTTGTGATGTTCAAAGAGATTGTGGGCGTCGCAGACGGGATCGATGAACTTCCAAAGAATGTCGTTGTAGTGATGTTCAGTGACGCACTTGGTGTCAGCGATGGGATATTCGTAAAGTTGCTCGATGTAGTCACAGTCAGAACGCGTATGGTAGTCGAGTTCCCAATTGCAGGCACACTGGTAACGCCTCCAGTAGGGGCGGTAGTGGTATTTGAGATACGCGTCACTTCTGTGAAGATTCCAGAGCTAGAGCTAGGGAACGTTGACCTTGTCGAATTGACGAATGTAGGCGGCAGAGAAGATGAAGCTGCAGTAGGAAGACTAATAGTAGAGTTTGTGGAAGGAGTCGGTACACTCGAAGAGATACGTGATGACGGTGTCAACAAGCTCGGTGGAGTGTTCGAAGAGCTAATGTTCGCAGAGTTGTGCGGGATCACCACTGTTGCTGTGAGAACCACCAAGGTTGTTTGCTGAGATGGGGGAGTGGTTACACTTCCAATGCTACCTGTCCCACTTTGCGTGGAGTTGAAGCCAATCGACGACGACAAACTGTAGGTGCCAGATCGGAGGTTATCTGTGTTGCTGAACGGTGGCCCTGTGGAAGTCGTGTTCAAGCCTGGGGTTGGTGTGACCGTCGGTACACTTGTGATCGACACGTTAGACGAAGGTGTGATAACACCAGAGCTGCCGAAGGAGTTTATGGAGACTAAGCTGCTGGAAATACTGTAGGAACCAGAGCGGAGGTCATCTGTGTTGCTAAATGGTGGCCCAGTTGATGTGCTGTTTAAGCCTGAGGTTGGTGTGACCGTTGGCTGGCTGGTTATTGATGCGTTGGTTGAAGGTGTGATAACGCCAGAACTACCAAAAGAGTTTATAGAGACCAAGCTACTAGAAAGACTGTAGGAACCAGAGCGGAGGTCATCGGTATTGCTAAATGGTGGCCCTGAGGAAGTCGTGTTTGAGCCTGAGGTTGGTGTAACTGTCGGAACACTTGTGATTGACGCGTTGGACGATGGTGTAATGACGCCAGAGCTACCAAAAGAGTTTATAACAATCGAGCTACTAGAGAGACTGTAACTTCCAGAGCGAAGGTCGTCAGTGTTGCTGAAAGGTGGTCCTGTAGATGTGCTGTTCAAGCCCGAGGTTGGTGTAACTGTTGGTACACTCGTGATCGACGCGTTGGACGACGGCGTAATGACGCCAGAGCTACCAAAAGAGTTTATAACAATCGAGCTACTAGAGAGACTGTAACTTCCAGAGCGGAGGTCATCGGTGTTGCTAAAAGGCGGTCCTGTGGATGTCGAGTTTGTACTTGCCGTAGGTGTCATGCTTGGAGGAGCAGACATCGTGGAGTTCGAGGACGGCGTGATGACACCGCTGCTTCCGCCAGTTCCCCGTACACTAGTCGACTCACTATAGCGGCCAGTGCGATCGCCTCCCGAATTGGTGAACACCGGCCCGGTTGAAGTCGAGTTCGAGACGGGGACTGAAGTGATAGCAGGAGGAACAACGCCGTTGTCACCCGTGGAGGAACCTGCGGCTGTGCTAAATTGGATAGTTACACCATTTGACCCGCCAGCTGATGTGATGTTAACACTGGGTGTCTGAAGGGAGCTCGGCGTCTGTATAGAGGGAACCTGGGTCGAAGGACCAACTGTCGTCGTTACAGTTATGGTAACATCCCTAGTCAGAGGAGGGCCGCCATCATCGCTGGATGGTGTGGAAACGGGCCGTGATGACCTCACACTTCCGCTTGAACCGCTAGGAATGCTAGTCAGTGGAGGAGGAATGACGCCGTCATCACCAGTCGAGGATACAATCGCAGTACCTCCGGAGAAAGTAGCATTGCCCGAACCACCTGCAGTCGAAGTTGAGACCACGACAGACCTAGAATTTGGTGGAATAATACCAGAGTCTCCTGTGCCGGTCGATGTGAATGTACTTCTGCTGGTAGCAAAGGATGCAACGCCAGAATTCACTGTGACGGAAAGGGTAACGGAGCTATTGCCAGATGGAGCAGGTGGAATGACACCAGAACTACCGGTAGAGCTGAAAGCAATTGCATTATCGCTTGTAGCAAACGTAGCAACTCCAGAAGTTACAGTTTCTGTCACAGTAACGGTGCCAAGAGTTCGGCTGGGTGGGACAATGCCAGAATCTTCAGTGTTATCCGAGACGAGCGTGCTCCGGCTAGTTACAAAGGATGCAACGCCTGAGATGACAGTTCTTGTTACGATAATTGAAACGTTCGCCGAGGGGGCCGGAGGAATGACACCAGAATCTCCAGTGCTGGACGCAATGGCAGTCGAGCCGGAAATTGTGAAGGCCAATGATCCCGTCGAACGGATAGTGGAGTTGGAAAACTCTTGAATTGTCTGGGAAGCCAAGGAGCTGGCTGGAGTGTTAATAGAAGGCGTGATAATACCGGAATCCCCTGTCGATTCTGCAGCAAACGTACTACCTGATAGAGAGAAGGCAGCAGAGCCACGAATGGTAGAAACAGGGGGGATTACGCCCTCACTACCATTAAAATTGCTCGTAAACGTAGAGCCCGAGGTAGAAATAACAGTACCACCAGTGGAAACAATGGTAATTTCTTCGCCAGGAGAAGACCGGGAAGGCGGAATCACACCAGAGTCGGCAGTAGAAAAGAAGGTTGCTGTGCTCCCAGACACCGTGGCATTGCCAGCAATCTGAATACTTGAGGGGACACCGGTGGGAGGGATGAGACCATTGCCATCCGTGGAAGTCATTGTCGCCAACGAGAAGAATGTGGTGAACTCGCCGTTGGCGTTTGTTGTGGACGCAGGCACAAAAGTAGGGGGAGCAACACCGCCACCGCCATTCGTGATGATCTCAGTCGAAGTACCAGAAATGATTGTAGTCACGCCGCCATTGATAATAGTAGTCACCAGTACCGAGGTAATGGTCATGGGTTCAGAGGGAAGTGTTACAATGGTACGGGTGAGGGTTTTGGTGCATTCCCACGATGTAGAGTAGACAGCCCACCAGTAGCTGGATGAGGCAGACACGGCATACCAACTCCAATGTACGTAACCCTGAGCATCTGTAGAATTGGCAGACACATACGTCTGGAAGACGCCACCATTGGCAGTTTCAGTAACAAGCCCAGGGGTCGACAGTGAAAAGGGCGCAGCGGTGATTGAGCTTATGAGAGCCGATGTATCCACTGAGGTGTTGGTTACTGAAGAATTCAGCGCTTGGCATTCGTCGCCATTGGCGAAAGTTCCGGTATGCACGACAGCAACAGAGCCCTCTTTGTCAACATAAGACGGATCAGATCCACTTAGGATGCAAAGTCCTCCGGATCGGCCGTCAGTGTATGGCTCAAAAGATGCAGCCTGGCAGGTATCCTGACCGCTTTGAGCATTGACCAACGAACACTGAGCTGTACACGCCGTCCCGCTGTCGACCGCAATGGGGAACCCGATGCGATCTTGGGTAACAGCTTCAGTGTTACACAACACAAGGTAGTCGAGTCGGTAGCCTCCTACAACTTGATCCACGCGCTTACCAGCGTCATCAGGACAAGTAAAGGGAATGGCAGTCACTACAGGGTTGCCAGAGCTCACAGGGCTACTTGCAGGCAAGTCTGTCCCGGTCAGACGAGTGGCTGGTGGTGCGGCCGTTATGCTAGCGTCGGACGTCTGACTGACGGAGACATCTGTGTCAGAGGTACTTGTCGGTGAGACACTTGCAGATATAATGACAGTTGTTGTTGACGTGAAGATTTTGGTATCAGTTCTCTTCACCACATAGACTTTGCGGACACCAACGGTTGTGTACTGTTCCTATTAGCATACGGTAACGCTCATGGTGCGGCAGTTTGAAGAGTACATACAACAGGAGGTACTGTAAATGAGCTCGTCACCGTCGCAGTCGGGTCGACCATCTTGCAGGAACATGCATTTGAAAGTCCTGATTCAGCTTGGATACGTTGGGGACTCTTTGAGCTAGTTGCGACGGCTGAGCCACTCTCAATGACGGATTCGATCACATCCTCGACGATGGCGGCAATGTTAGCTGCTCGGCGTGCGACTGGAGCTAATGTGGAAGTGGCTGTCTCGGTCACAGTCTCTGTAGTGATGATACGTGTGGTAGATGTGAAAGAAGTGGTAGAGTGGGCACTGGTGGTGATGGTACTTGGGAATGGATAAGTGATTATTCCTCGAGTAAAAAGGCAACCGTTGGTACTTACATGGTAGGGGTGACCTCGAGGACAGAAGTGGCTGGAGGAATATCGAGCCATTCATTGCAGAAGGTGGTGATACGGTCGCCGGTGTTGCTGTCCAAGAGCTCCTGCCACCGGTCGTTGGAGCAATCTAGAACGACATCGGTAGCGTTTTGGCGCTTGTACAGATGGCCCTCTGGTGCAGGACCACGATGAGCAGCACGGTATACCTCCTGAGCAGGTTTGTTCGACTTGCGGACCACTAAGGCTTCGACTGGGCCTGTAAAGGAGAGGACAACGGCCAAGGCCTGTAGGGAGTGAGTGACGTGCATGACGGAGCCCTCGAGTGAGTGAGAGATGCCCCTGTCGATAGTACTGTGCGAAGCCGAGGGCGTTTGTGGATGAAGGACAAGTTAGCAGCCCATGGAAGTGTCCCTATAAGAGAAATCCAACACTGGCCGGGTGTTCGGTCGTGGTGCCAGCCATCAAGATTGCAGCCATGTCTAGAATGTGCCTTGCAGAAGGCCATGGTGCACTGATTCGGAGTAGATTGACCAGCTCGATCAGTTTCGCGTGAGGCGTGACGGCAATGATGACCTTGCGTACAACGCGACTTGAGAATGCTAGATGTCGCGGTAGCGAACATGGTCTACTGCGCCAGAGGGACTGGCTCCCGGAAGCTTGGCAGTGACCTTGCCCGTTGAAGCGGGTTGGAATGAAAGGGAGCCTGGCTGGGGTCTTATTGCGCGGGGGCTGTCGCATTTTGCTCCCACCTTTGCCACGACCCATAACCAGACGGGGGGCTAAGGGATATGTTGTGTTTCAGGTGAGAACGCGCAGGCGGTAGATGGCGAAAGCATGGGGGGCATTTTGTGAGATACAAGGCAGATTGGATGGCACATTGAAACGGAGGGCTGGAAGATTGGACAAAGATCAGTCACGGCCCAGGTAGGTGAGGAGAAACGGATTCCGAAAGTAGATGGAAGGAGAATACCGAAGTAA